CAGAAATAAAAGCAAACTGGGAAAATGTAAAGCAAGAGGATGATGATAATAATAATAATAATAGTAAAATCACGGAAGAGAGTTTCTCGCGAAAATTCTGCTCCTTCGAAAACTTAGCGTGCTCCTACACCGAATACGGAATCAATGGAATTCAAGGAACATCCCGGATACTCGATCCGACACAAACGAGCGAACGCAAATTTCGCCCCCGATTCCTCGTGGAATTTTCTCTCTCTCTCTCTCCCTCTCTCTTTCCCAGAGAGGAAAAGGACAATCGAGGAGGGTGCTCGTTTAACAGGGGTTCGGTTAACAGGGAGAAGGCCGACAAACAGCGGCATAAAGCGGCGGTTTATATACCTTCGGTATCGGTATCGAAGCACCGATCGAGGGGGTGAAAAATGAGACGATCCCGTACGATTTTTCCTGGCCAAAGTCGAGGAGAAAAAGGGAATCTCTTCGTTCCGTTCGGCGCGATTTTCACCGCTACGGGAAGAGAAGAGTTTGAAATTGTGGAACTGCGTGAGAATTTGTTTTTTTTTTCTTCTTCTTCTTCTTTCTTTCTCTGGACTTTTATACGCGAGAATTCAATCCATCGTTCAACCCAATCGTTCTCTCGATCGTCGAGGATTTAATCTGGATGGACGATGAAAGCTGAGCAAAAGTAAAAGTTTCTTGAGAAACGAACGGTGGTAAGGAAAATTCTCAAGTTTAGAGATGAACCGTTAAACCGGCGGCTGCTCTTATATTTCGTTATATTCGACTTATTTTAAACGATTCACTTTGTTCACAAACGAAGACTGAAGAAATTCTTAGAAAAACAATTTTCGTTCGAACGAAAGTTAGATGGAACCGCCTCCCCCACGTTAGAGAGGATCGATTAGCTCGCTTTATTTTTAAATTAATCCCGCTTTTGAACGCGAAAGAAGGGAAGAAGAAAAGAGCAAAGAAAAAGGCAAACAGAGCGGCGGGGGAGGGGAAAATGGAGCCCAATTCCTCTCACGTAACCGTTCACAGGGGGAACGAAAACAAGTGGAAACGGAGAGGAAGGTGAAAATGCTCTCGTTTCATCGTCAGGGCGAAGAGAGAGGTTAACGATTCGAACGTAGGGAAATTTCGTGATACGCGCCGATAAGCCTGTCAGTGGTTTAATCGAGGGCCGTGCTGAGAGAAATAAATATCCGTGCGTCGTCCATGCCGCTACCCCTCCAATGAATTATGCGATCATTGGTTTTCCTCCTCTGCATTTATATATATTTATTTTTTTTTTATTCGTCTCTTCTTTTTTTATCATGTGATCTGTGATGACGCTTTGATGGAGCTGAATTAAACCGGTGTCCACAAGTTTTGGATGGAAGCACGTATATTACTGGAGAAATTTTACTTGATATTAGAAATCAAGATCGATGGGGAGATGAATTATTGCTCGAGATCTTTTTATGTATCTATATGATTAATTTTATAAGGATACTGTTCCACGATATTTTTAATTAAATTTCGTATAATTTTTGCGTTTTTTGAAAAAATAAGCCTTCGCTTTTTGTTCGATAAATTCAAATATTCGTTATATTAGAAATTAGTTGCGAATATTATCTGTGTATCGCAGAAAAATTGCAACTAATCAAATCACAAAGTTTTGATGAATCGTATACTTCAATTTTCTCGCGTATTTCCGCGCAAACACGTTCAAACACAGATGATGCATTAATATAATTTTCTCTCTCTCTCTCTTTCGTTAATTTATATTCAACTACAAAAACACGCGCTCTAACGAGAATCAACCGAAACGCGTTTGAATGTCGTTTAATAAAAAAAAATAATTCACGAATAGTCCAGGATGCGATATTCGCATTTTTGACGGACAGAATAACGACGAAATCTGTCGAATTTGCCGGGATAGCTGGTGGGAAATAGTCAGCTCTATTTTAGTTGAGTCGTTAAATCAAACCTTACCGCTTCTAGCCCCCGGGCAATTCCGATCGTTGCCACGAGTTTTTCGCATTTATAGGAAATTTTTCAACTTTTTTTTTCTTTTTTTCGGCAAAAAGCATTTCAATGCACGACACAGAAATGACGACACACTCGTACACTCATTTTTTCAAGGCAAATGAAAATTTTGTTTCTCCTAGCTACCTGTATCGAATGCAACCAAGTTATCTCGTTATCTCGAACAAGATTCGGAGGAGGGGGTGTAATATTTAACGACATATTAGCGAGTTTTTGAATAAACAGGGAACGATTATTCATTCTTTGACACAGTTTCCGCTGTGGACCAAATATTTTCGCTTTTATGGAATTATCGAATTTCTATTATGCACGGCCTCTCGTGTCGTGCATAATTCGGTTTGAAAAATATTTCGAGTAAACATTTGTCGGGGGAGGGATACAAATTTTCTGATGCATCCGATGGAATTTTGAGGAATTTTTCTTTTAAAAATGGTGGAGCTATTGCAGCATTTCCAACATGACGTTTGTTTTACTTTTTTTTTATTCCCTTTTTATTTCCTTCTTTTTCTTTCTTTTTTTTTTCTATTTCTATTTCACGTGTAAAGTATGATCTCTAAATTGGAACGTGGAAAAAAATTCCTGTGTTGAAAGTTATTCCGCTAGAGCTTTTTTTCGAGACGTCCTTTCACGGTTACCACCCCTTTTTAAAAAACCGATTTCCATCGCAATGGGATATTTCTGGAGGGGGGAGAGAAAAAAGAAGAAAAGAAAAGAAAGGGAGGGAAAAGAGAATTATACAATCGAACGGATGGAAATTCATCATATTGTAAAGGCAAGATCCGAAATTTCCACCCCTTTGACTTTATTTCATTTTATCACATATTCCTAAAGCTTTCCTATAAAAACGATTTATCATACTTTTCCATTACTTATGAATTTTAATCGATCGGGCCACGAATTTTTCACCCATCCCGAGTGGAACACCGGCGAAGTAAAACCCGATGAATTAAAATCAAAAATTTATCGCATGGTAATTTTCCAGTAAAAAAAAAACCCTTCGATCTTTCCTCCCCCGTGAAGATAACTTCCGATGAAATTGAAACTTTCCTCGTACGTTCTTACATATTTTTACAATTACACAATTCACCTTTGTTGAATCAACGAATGATCGCAACGAATCGAGACGAAAAGCAAAAATTGGACGATTCCCTGTTAAAAAACGAATGAAAAGAAAGTAAAGCAACTCCATCAACGAAACGAAGAATCGAAGAATAGATCGGGTAGAACAGCAGGTGGAATTCTTCTTTTAGGACAGGACTCTGTCCATTTGCGCGCAGGGATGCGTGAAATTTATCCTGTTATCGAGGAGAGGGAGGGAGAAGATGGGGAGAAACGCCACGCGTTTAAAGGGGGGAGGGGCTGTATATTTCATCGGCGCCATGGCACGCAAATTCGAGCAGCGAGTGACCATCGTGTACAAAGGCAAACGTGTAACCAGGCCGCAGGTACACAGGCCATCGGTGGCCCACCCCTGTCGGAGGAAAACCGACCAAGCATCGATCCTGGCCGCGGCCGACAACCAGATTACGTCGATCTTCCATCGAGATATATATATATATATTCCTGTCTTTTCTCTTCATCCATATCGCTCTATATTATTCTGTTATCGATAACAGAATGTGGCTGTCGTCGCACGGTTGACGGTGGATTATTGTTGGTTGCGCGAAAAATTGAACGAGGGATGTGATGTAGGAGAGGAGAGTGGATTTTTCAGCATTGGAAAGAGTCGAATTTTTAAGCGTTTGACGAAGGTAAAACGGGTTGGCTTCTTTTTTTTTTTTTTTGGTTTTATGAAAATTTAGTGGATATGAGATTTAGTAAAAATAATTAATTGAAAGTTAAGTTTTAAATTAAAAATCAATTCTTTATAACGAAATAAGGGTTGAGAATTTTACGAATTAAAAATTTTCAAAATTTTCATTGTCAATTAAAGTTCGAACGAGTGATTGGGTAATTAAGGAAGATTCAAAGGATCAATTGCGAGGATATTCTCTTTTCTTTTTTAAAGAAATTTCATCTTTGTTCGAGTCGAAAGAGAAACATTTCTCGGCGATTCAACGACGCGATGTTTGCCAAAGCTTTTCTGGTTTCCATTCTTTTCACGGAAGTGGTAGCGCTACGTCCGCGAATAATTTCCGCCATAGAATAGGAGAATATTCTTTTTCCCGCCGACTTTATTTCAAATCTCCCGTGAACAGGCACTTTTACGAGCGTTGTGTAATCTTATAAATTAACCAAACTTGCAGTTTCCAACTCGGCCACAGATTTCTATGTTTAAAACACTTTGTTAGACGATGTGTAACACACATGTGGAACATCGTTTTGTAACAATTCGTTGTGGAAAATTTATCGATGTAATCTCGGCATTTAATCTGTGTATATATTCTCATTCTTTATCTTCTTTTTTTTTCCTTTTTCCTTTTTTCCTTTGATTGGACATTCAGCAAAAGTTGTAAATTAATTTTTATTTTATCAATTTCGAAATGGAACGATGAAATAATGAAATTAAAAAAAAATGTGGTAAAAAGAGATAAAGGTAAATGCACAATGAGATTTGCACATTTTCTTTTTCAATTGGTCGGCGTTATTTTCCAAATTTTGTTGAAATTTTATTTTGTTTTAAATAAAATCGGGTGCAAAGGGGAGAGGATAATAAACGTGAGACACGGGATGAAATTAAAAAAATTTATTATTTAATATGGTGGAAATGAAATAAAAGTAAATGCGCAATGAGATTATAATTGCTTTTTAATTGTTTCGTATTATTTTCGAAACGGGGAATTTATCTTTAAAATATACAATATGTATTAATTAATTCGCGCAAAAATTGCCAAATATAAATAAAACACACGATAAATATTTGAACTAATTTCGTAAATTTTTGCCCCGTCATGATAAAAGGGACATTAAAATCGACGAAATTAATAATTCTATTTCTTGATTTCACGTGTACAAATTAGAGAATTATATTAACGTTTGTATTATTTATTTTCCAGGCGAAGGGGGACAGTATTTTCGCGTGAGGCCGAGAAACAGCTCTGTCCAGGAGGGCCGTGACGTAACAATATCTTGCGAAGTTGGAAACAGAGTTGGGATCGTGCAGTGGGTGAAAGATGGCTTCGCCTATGTCATACAATCGAGTAAGTAAATCGATCCTCCGTTTATTCACGCCTCTTTAAACCGTGAATCTAAATCCTTTTTTTAAAATTAACAAAAAATTCATCCATAAAAATCGAAAACCCCCCGTACGTATACTTGACATGAATAAAAATTAACCAAGTTACTTTTGTGCAATAAAGATGTAGAGATAACGTAAAAAAAAAAAAAAAAAAAATTCACGTTCACAAGTTAACGAGCCAAATAATAATAAGAAGAAACGAGACACTTCACCTGAGATGAAACCACAGATGACCGAAACCCGTCCCCGTTTTAATTACCACGTCAATCCACACGAATCTAACAATCCCCTCTATTAACGTTCGTCTCGATTTCGCGCAATTATCAACTTTCTCTTCAGTTAGGGAAGATAAAGTAAAAGTGGAGAGATTGGACGCCGAGGGGGTAGGAAAACCTCCCTCCCTCTACGTCGTAGAGTAGAATCTTTGAAACTTCGTTTCGAGGTAACTTCATCTCGCTCGTTCATTAAAACAGGCCATTAGTAACCACGACGTAAATGGAGCAGAACTATCTTAATGTCTCTTGCACGTTCAATCATTTTTCCTCTCTCTCTCTCTCTCTCTCTCTGGGGAGAATGGAGCGACTTAATCTCTAAACGTGTACCGATGTCTTTTTTTTCTCCTTTTTTTTCTCTCTCTCTATCTCTCTCTTTCGAAAAATGTCGTCGACAAAAGCCTCCTCCACCCTCCGCTTCAGTGTCACCGGGTAGTCTCACCCGGGTATTATTTGATTCGGTATGATCCTCTCGCGCAACGTGCAAAAAAGGTGTAATTAGAGGCTTTCGACTATCGAAACCTTTTATCAGTTACCCTTTTCTTCTTCCCTCGACACGCTCACACGTCAACGTGCGCCCTAAATTTTCGAAACTGTTCGCGACTGCATGTGTGCATGCAGGATTGGGGAGGGATGAACAAAGCTCGAAACAGAGTCATTAGGAGAATTGCTTGGCGGTGAAAATGACGACGGTTGAGCTGGGACGGAGTTAAAAATGGGGTAATGATATTTTGGAAAACGCTGTGATGTCGAATTTTGCAAGTTTTTTTGAGGATGGGGGGGGGGGGTTAATTAACCCGAAGTGTCAAGTGTAAGAAATATTATAACGATGTTTTTGAAAGGTATGCGATATGTCGATTTTGTTGAAAGTTATTTCAACCGTCTAAGGTATTGGATATAAACATGATTGATAAAAATTGTAAAATATTCTAAAAAATTAAATGGAATGTTATATCCAGAATATTTATAAATATGTTATTTGAAATATTGCGGATCTGTTTGGAGATTTATCGAGGAGAATAAATCGTACAAGAGGAAAGGTATATCAGGATTATTAAAACGTATAATGACGTTCAAAAATGGAGGAAAATTGCAGGAAAAATGTAGGAAACGGATGTTACGCCAACTTTGCTCCGAGTAAATTTGTTAGAAGTGTATATTAACATATTTGCTTCGATGTTTCTTTCTTTCTTTTTTTTTTTTTTCTACTATTATTAAATTTCTAAAATATGAAAGAAATTTTATCGTAAATTGGACGAGAAAAAAGAAACATTAATATCGAGTTTAAAAAACGTGACTTAACTGTTTTGAAAGAGAAAAAAAAAAAAAAAGTCAGTATCGTTCCAAGCAATTTTTGCTCGAAACAATTTTTAAAACATCGAACGCGCGAAAAATTACAGTAAGATACAGCTTCTGTCTGCGTTGGTTATAAAATGTGTCTGACAGTAAACCGTTCATTTTTCACGCGTGTATTCTTTTTCTCTTCTTCTTTTTCTTCCTTCCTTTCTCTTTCTCTCTTTACGAGACTTTACCAAGTCGTGGACTTGGTTCGACGCATCTTGCTACATGTTTTAACGACACGTCCATTATTCGTGCATAAAATCTGCATTGTTTCGATGAACGATATTTCCGATGTTAAAAAAATCATTAACGATCTTGTTTTCGAATCACACGCTCGAGATACTTTCGTAAAATTCATTATATAATATTGTTTAGCTTGACATTTTCTATCCTTACTGCTACTAAACATCCATCGAAGGATTCTTTTCTGTGAAAAGAAAAAAATTCTTTTCGATCTCTCGGTTGAAAAGAAGGGCTCGATTTTTCTTTTTCACGAGGATTCGTTAGAAATGGGGAGCGCTCGCGAAGCGGGGATTGTCAAACATCTTGCCCGTGGCAAGGTAAATTTTTGACGAGGGAGGCAAGGTTGACAGAAGGTAATGGCCGCCATGAACCCGTGGCGTTCTATCGATTTTGCATATATCATCGCTTTTATCAAAACCCAAGTAGGTAGTAGTTTCCATCGTGTGTCTTCAAACCTTTATATAAGAAATGACATTTACGATGTACCCTTTTTTTGAGTTACGACACGGTCTCTCTGGTTGGCATTTTTTTTTTTTTGGCTTCGCTCTTATGGACGTTTGTACAATAATCATTGTTACGCTTCAAGGGTATATCGGATACAGTGGAGAAATTTCAAGAAGAGATTATTGGAAAATTAATTTTTATAAAAAAAAACTATATCGTATTTATACTTTTTTATTTCAGTTTTAAAGTTTTTTTAATTAATCAAAGAAAGAAGAGTGAAACATTTATCAATATGATTAAAAGATGAGAATAGAAAATTATTTATAATATTTAATGCATTTTTTTTTTGTAACGCAGAATAAAATTGGTTAAAAATTTTTTAAATAAAGGAAGTTTTGCGCGGAAAGAAGAGAAAAGTCTGAAAGCATTTTAATAATCTTTTTTTCATAATTGCCTTTATACACGAATCGAGGCGAGATCAAGGATTTAAAAATAATTAGTTTTAAAGTTATAATAATAATAATAATGAAAGATCTTTGTGAAAAATGTTTAAGCTTATAGTAATACTTTTCTTCAGTTCTTCTACAGTTAAAACAACATTTTACTGTAAAGGAAGAGAAAGCTCGTGATTATTCTTTCTTTCGATCTAGACCTTTAACATTTTTCTTTAAACGAAATAACATGGGTTTTGATTAGATAGATAAACTCGCTATGTGTTTTTATTAAAGAAAATATTTCAAGGATTCGATGTAAAATTTAAAGCATAATTATATTATTATTAACTTCATCGATTGAAAATCAAAGAAGCTTAAATAAAAATAATCAAAATAAAAAAATAATTAAATTCATTGTGTTATACATGATGCTCAACCAACATCTTTATTATATTATATTATATTTCATTCTTAAAAGCTTCAGAGATTCGCGAATGAATTAATTACATTTAATTTTACAGATGGAGAAATCGTGGGGCATCCGCGATTAAGATTAATAGGCGATCAGAGCACAGGAGTTTACAATCTTCAGATCACGCAGGCTTCTTTGACCGACGATGGGGAATATCAATGCCAAGTTGGACCATATTTGCGCATTAAATCGATCCGTGCCAACGCTCATCTCACCGTCATCTGTGAGTACTCATTGGCCATTTTTCTTTCCTTTTTTTATACATATATATTCACGCTTAACTGTCCTGAAACTTTAAACTTCGGATATATCTTTTTCTTTTTTTAAATCAACGGATCAGATCTCGATTCTTTTTTTTTTTTCGTACGTTTTCAATTTCTGGATTTTTATATAAAAAAAAAAAAAAAAAATTGAATTTCGCGAGAAAGAAACGAAATGAACGGAAGAACAGAGAGATTGGAAAATTTGATTTGAAAAGTTGGTCAGAGTTGGAGATTTATGTTGTAATGTAATTTTCGTGATTCCGGGAAAAAAGTTTGGATCTTGGGGAGGGGGGGGGAGAAAGGGAGGAAGTGTTAAATTAAAGAGCATTCTAAAGTGATTAAAAGTTTCCTTGGCTTTTCTCGAAAGCTCGCTCTTTTTTACACGAACGATCATTTTCCTGGGAAAGATCCCTTCTTTAAATAATATTTTCTTTAAAAGAACTTTTTTCTTCCGTTGCTTGTTTCTTGGAAAACGATTCGATAACGTTAATCTCATTCACACTTTTTGTTAAAATAAATTTTTCAACCCCATAAATTCGAACGAAAAGTTAACAATGGAAAATTCTTAATATTTCTTAATATAAATCTATAATATAATCTAATAAGTATAAAATTATGACAAAAATTTAGATACTTAAGAACATCGTAAATCTTCCAAGATCTCAAGCTAAAGATCCGTAAAGTTTCAAACGAGATTATTAAACTTCTTCTTGGATTTTCCTAAAATTCAATGTTCCATGTATATCCAAAAAATAATCTCAGAGAAACACACTGATAATTACTTTTCAATAAAATGTTAAATATCTATTTCCTTCTTCTCTTTTAAAAAAAGAAAAAAATCTCAAAAAATTTCACAATAAAGCTTCGAAAGGAATCTCTCTCCTTCAAAACAATTAATAGAAAGAAACAAAACTTACTTTCAAAAGTACATTCTCTTTCTGCCCACCCACCTTTCTTTCTCTTCCTCACAAGAGAAAAGTGATAAGAGAATCAATAGTGTAAGACAAGAGAGAACAAATTCGAAAAGAAAAACTTTCACAAGTAGAGAGAGTCTAAAAGAGTAAGTTTCTCGATCTCTCTGCGCGAGACATCGTTTTCGAAAACTCCTAGCCAACTCCTAGCCAGGTGTGTGCTCGCATCTCGAAGGTGCACGCTGCCTCGCCGCTAATCACGGTTTACCACCCCCGTCCCAAGACTTCTCAAAGTTAAGTTTCGGCCGGGAAATGCCTTTGTTCCAACGTGGCAAGTTGACCGCATCGCCGAGCAACGATGATTGTATCGAACTTTCCGCCTAGTTCACGCCGACTATTCGAACCTCCGGATTCATCGAGGCGTTCTTAATAACGCGAGATAGGCGGCTATTGTTCCGAGAACCGCCCTGTATGTGCGATTCGTGCCGGTGTCATGAAATTCGTGAATAGAGCAGGATCGAAACAAGGTAAATGTAAATGAGTTTTCTTGTATTTCGATATTTGATCCGTGTTTAATTTAGGATTGGTTGGGTAATTTTGAGTTGAGGATAATTTCTCTCTCTCTCTCTCTCTC